GGGTCACACAACTAATCAATCTGAAATTGCTTCTACGACTTCCTACAAGCATCCTTAATTATTTGCTTATTCCTTTTTTCTGGTGTACTTTTTAGACCTTAATTATGTTCTATTGTCTGCAAACTATTCTTTATGGACACATCTCCATTATTAAATTTCTCTCTCTCCCTCAAACACACACTTATGACTGAATTCAATCTGATTTAGTACTGCAATTTAGATGAAAATTGGAGGAGTAAACCATTTTTTAAATCATAAATTTTAAATGATGATTGACCAAAAACAATTGTACCACTTTTAATAGGCAACTGCAATCACGGCACATGGATTGGGTTAATAGCAAAATAAATTGATGGTGGAGTGGTCACTCTTGTCTTTGCCTAATCTTCACGTTTTGACAATTTCAAGTGTTACATGTCCCACCTCGATTTAAGATAAGGTAATCTGTTGGTAAGCATTTTGCACCTCGATTTAAGACAAGGTAGCCTACTGGTAAGCATCTTGCACCTTAATTTAAGACAATGTCGCCTGTTGATAAGCATCTTACACCTATGACCGTTAATTTTAGGTTTCAGACATCAGGAGATGAATTGAAGAACCAGTATCTATCCTCCTTTTAAAAAAAAATGTCCCACTCCGAACTAATTTACGAACAATTGTGACTAGTAAGTACTTTGGACCACTAGATCAATTAAATATCGTGCTAAATTGAAAAGAATTTTAGACGCTCTATTTGGTAATTCAAAAATTATTGGAGTGAATTATTGGATGGTACGATGAATTCCAGATCTATTGATAGCACAAAATTCTTGAATATTCTAAAGGGGGGAAGGGTATATACTAGCTAGAAAAAAAGATACTGTTATTTACAAATAAACAGATGCATATACTAAGAATAGATTTCAATTATGTATTGTATTTGCTGTCATGTGAAATTTATCCTCATGTCATATTCTCAAATTCAAATGCAACCTAATCTATCACACCAATCAACATCTTGTGTATATATCCAACTATCTTTTTTAAGGTTCGTGACCAATCAACCTAATAATGTACTATACATATTTGTTGTTTCATGGAATTCTTTTGAATTTGTAACAAATATGAAATTGTTTTTGCAAGTTTTTTGGTTTTTTCATCATCATTCAAGAGATGAGCATCTTGTTTAATTATCATATCTTATGAACCCTAAATTAAATAATCCATTTAAGTTACTCAAATCGCATTTCGCTATCGACTACTTAAAAATTGGTTTTGCAGATCTTAAACTCGATGAAATATATTGGATGATTCTGCATCGTTGATCCACACATAATAACAGATACACTATTCGTATATAATATGTAATAGTAGTTATATGTATGGATGTATAATGCAAAATCATTGGATACTTAAATCACAACTCACACTAAAAGAAAAGTCAACAAGCTCCATCATAAATATTTTTCAACTATATGGAATAAACCAGAAAAATTACATGTGAAAATTTATATATTAAATATTAATAAAATGATATTTATTGATGAGAGGTGGGAAGTGAGGAAGTGGAGAGTGAGGTGAAGTGGGGTCCACCTAACGCGGTGGTAAAACATTAACGAAGCCCACATGCAGAGTCCGTGGGTGGCGTCAACAAATCCAAAATTCCCCTAATTCATATTATTTTTCATAATAATATAATTAGCAATAATAATAATAATATCAAAAATCAAAATTATTGATAATTATACTCTTAATCCAAATATGAAATATTCCCACAATTTCCAGAAAGAAACAAGACAAGTTGGTGTAGGAAGACCCACAGCCCCAATTTTGTACTAATGGGCCGACCACCGACACCACCACCTTTTTTTTTCTTTTTTAATTCTTTTTAATTTTGTCCACATGTCTTTAGTTTCTAGGTAAAATGATCGTCTAGGGGTAAAATAGTCAGAAATGATGTAAATAGACCATACTCAAAATTTATTTTTCGAAAATAAAAAGTGATATAGATCCAAGAAAATTAGATTGGCATACATTATTCATTCAATTCTCTAATTTAGATATCACATTCAAAATTTCTTCTGGCTGATTTTGCTCCATAAATCTACGTAAATAACTATTCATCAAGCGCACATATACACATTAATTACGCATAATATTATTACATGTAAATCAATGGTGCATAATCAAGTGTAGCATCGAAAAATTTCAAACAATAACTTATCACTCTATAATAATCATTTCACACACCATTCTTTTGAACTTTTTTTTTCAAATTAAATTTCCCACTCAATACAATCCATCTAATTCAATATAATTCCAAATTATGCTGAAAAAAAAAGTGAAATCTCCCTCCCTCCTTTCTCTCTCATGTTAGTCTTTTACAGCCATAAAGTATCTCAAAATCACTATTGACTTTCTTCCATCCTTTTTCTCTTTTCATTTTTATGTATTTATATATATATCATATATATATATATGTATCTATAGTAGGCACAGTGTGTAAAGGCAGCCACTTTAAATATGCCATAGCTACCCATCACTCATTTTACTCTTTAACACCATTCTAATAACCTTTCTTCCTCTTCTTCTTCCCTCACTCTACTAAACTAGAAAATCAAAAAAAAAAAAAAAAAAAAAAAAACAAGTTTCTTTAATCTCTTCAAAAAATGGCGCTGAAGCAAATAGCGCTTCTGTTTGCCTGCTTCGCCATTGTTGCTGCAGAGAATCCCTACAGATTCTTCAATTGGAACATCACTTATGGCACCATCTATCCTCTTGGGGTACCCCAACAGGTTTTTTTTTCTTTCTCTCTCTACATTTCTTGTTAATATTATAAACAAGATTCAATTTTTATTTAACAAAACCTATACTCCGATATCTCATCCCGCGTGTATACAGGTATTTGGATAAATGGGCAGTTTCCAGGGCCGGATATTTACTCTGTCACAAATGACAACATCATCGTCAATGTCTTTAACAGCTTAGATGAGCCTTTCCTCATTCACTGGTAATAAAGATTACATTTTTATTTTTTGGTATTAGAAATATATTCATGATTTATTATTATTATTAATTTTTTTTATAAAAGGAATGCCTTTTGGGGTTGGATTTACTTACATCAGTCGGATTTAATATTAAATTTTGTAGTAATATTAGTCTGACACGATTCCCATTGACCCAGTCCCATAAAAAAAATTAATCTTTTCAAGAAAAAAAATTCTCCTTCATTGGGATTAAAAAAAAATTACCACATTTATTTACTGGCAATTTAACACAAGGTGGCTGGAAAGGTGAATAGTTCAATTATACAATAAATTTTCACCTATTTAAAAGAAATTTTGGTATGGTATAATAGGGCAAATTACAGTCATGCCCTTGAAGTACGTTCAAATTACGAAAATATCCTTTATATTTTGAAAATTACAACCACTCAACTATGTACTGTCTTACATGTCCACTGTTATTGTGTCTGAATGAGGGGTTTGTTCGTTAGATAATACATAATTAAGGGATTGTTTTGTAATTTGTGCTTACCTCAGGGGTGGTCGTAATTTACTCTAAATCATCGTTATAACATCACATTTAAGATGTAGAGCTCGTTTATCTAACATCATTTAATTCAAGAAGTTTATAGTCAAAGTAGATATGATTATTGATTTGAATTAATTTGGAGTTTTTGGCATGCATGATTAATATTCATGTGAGTTTATGCTACAGTGAACTCACTAGTGTGAAAAGAACCCACACATGGATTCTCAGACATTGTTAAAGAAGCCCACATGGGACTGTTACATCATTAGTTTGTCAAGAAGTAGCCCACCTTTTTCTTTTCTTTAAAAACAAAATAATTTGTGTTAAATTAAAAGATTTGATATTTTTAATTTTATTTAATCTTGATGGATTCATGAATTATATATATTTAAAAAAAAACAATTGAAAAAAAATGGCAGGAATGGGGTACAAAATAGAAGGAATTCATATGAAGATGGAGTGTACGGAACAACATGCCCAATTCCACCTGGCAAGAACTTCACATACATTCTTCAAATGAAGGATCAAATTGGAAGCTTCTTTTACTTCCCTTCTTTGGCTTTCCACAAATCTGCTGGTGGTTTTGGGAGCATTAAGATCTTAAGCCGCCCGTTAATCCCCGTCCCTTTCGACCCCCCGACCGATGATTTTTCCCTCTTAATCGGAGATTGGTACAAGTCTAATCACACCGTAAGTATTATCTCCATTCTTGCATCTCTATACTCTTTTTTTTTTTTTTAAATAAATTCAATTAAAGATAATTTGATAATGAAATTATTGAACTCGCTAGTAATTTCTCGTCGAGACAAGGTAGCCCGACCGTAAGCACCTTGTATTATTGTGTTGCTGCTGCAGCTAATTTAATTATTGGGTTGTTTTTTTAATTTATTTATAACTATTTATTTGCAGTGTCGGCAACTTAATGGGCCCATTAATTCAATAATAATAAGTACCAACCACTGTACTACTACCATGTCCGACTGTTTAATTAGAACTATTTATTTAATTTCAATTTATTTTCAATTCCTAATATAATTATTTAATTATATTACATAATAGGCCTTGAAGAAAATTCTGGACAACGGCAAGAAATTACCTTTCCCCGATGGCATTCTCATCAACGGCCGTGGCCCAAACGTTACCTCCTTCACTATTCAACAAGGTATTTTATTTATTTAATTTAATCATTTTCTTCATTTAAATAAGGGGAAAAAACATTAAATAAATAAATAATTTTGTAATTTTGTAAATAACAGGAAAAACATACCGGCTGAGAATATGCAACGTCGGATTGCAGAACTCGCTGAATTTCCGAATCCAAGGGCACAAGATGAAAGTTGTGGAGGTGGAGGGGACCCACACAATGCAGATCAGTTATTCGTCGCTCGATATTCATCTTGGTCAGTGCATGTCGGTTCTTGTAACAGGCGATCAGCCCCCTCAGGACTACTACGTCGTCGTTTCCACCCGGTTCACCACTCCGGTTCTCACCACCACCGGTTTTCTTCGTTACGCTAACTCGAATAAAAAGGCCTCTGGCCCACTACCTGGTGGGCCCACCACTCAAATTGACTGGTCCCTCAACCAGGCTCGTTCCATAAGGTCTCTCTATTTCTTTTTCCATTTTCTTAATTCTTTTTTTTTTTTTATCATAACATAACAAAATCATAATATAGGGGTAAAATTGGAACAAAAAATTTCAATTTCTGCGGATTTAAATCCAAATTTTCTATTCCAATTTATGATTTTTATTTGGACTAGAAATTTTATGCCTATGTACGAGATTCCCATTTTTTATTCTAATATCAATTTACGAAAATTCTAATTGCTTTTTTTTTCAAAAATTACACTTATTAACACGAATGTTATTATTTCTTTTATACTTTAGGTGACCGGATTTTTTTTGATTTTGGAACAACTTTTTCAATTCCACTTTCTGAAATTCCAATTTTAATTTTTTTTTTCGATTTTTTTGTAACAAATTGGATTTAATTTTTCACTTCCGGAAAAAATGGGTTTCTTTTTTTGTCTTTCTGAAAGTGCACTAATTCTGATGCGATGCGTCCGATTTCCGCACCTAACATAACACAATAGACTGATTATATTTTTATTTTTGTTGTATTTTAGGACAAATCTTACAGCAAGTGGACCGAGGCCGAACCCACAAGGGTCGTACCACTACGGCATGATACCCACAGTCCGAACCATTCGGCTAGCCAGCTCAGCCGGTCAAGTCAACGGCAAACAAAGATACGCAATCAACAGTGTTTCTTTTGTTCCAGCTGACACCCCTTTAAAAGTCGCTGATTTTTTCCAAATAAGCGGAGTTTTTCGAGTGGGAAGCATATCGTACACCCCTAGTGGTGGAGGAATATTCCTCGATACTTCCGTTATGGGGGTCGATTACAGAACATTCATCGAGATCGTTTTCGAAAACTCCGAAGATATCGTGCAGATATATATATATATATATATATATATATATATATATATATATATATATATATATATATATATATATATATATATATATATATATATATATATATATATATATATATATATATATATATATATATATATATATATATATATATGTATGTATGCATGTATATATCTTCAACTTATAAAAGCCATGCATAAAACTACTCATGTGGTTTTATTTGTATAAAACCCTTATAATGCATGTTTTTATCACATAACCCCCTAAATAGTGAGTTCTTAGGGGGTAATTTGCTACAAAAAAATTGAATCATGAATGGATTTTGCCAATAAAATAAATAATATGGGAGTTTTTTAACAATTAGAAAGAATACAGGGGTGCCGAATACGATACTCGTATATATGTTTACTAATGTGATGATATTTTACATCAGAATGGACGGAGGGCAATGGACTGAAGCTAGTCGGAACCAATACAATCTCCGTGATGCGGTCTCTCGGTCCACGGTTCAGGTAATTATTAATCAAGAAATATGTATATTTTTATTTTACTCTGCATTCTGCGATACTCGAAACATAATAAATCTCTATATTAAGTTTAAAAAGAAATTGTGGGGGCAATGGCCCCCTGGCTCGACCGGTGGAGGAGAAGTGCTTATTGAATTTGATTTATAAAAATAAATTGACACGATTGAGAACTCAATTATTTTGTTTGTTTTTGTGATTTTTGTTAGGTGTATCCAAAATCGTGGAGCGCTATTTACATAGCGCTCGATAACGTGGGAATGTGGAACTTGAGATCGGAGTATTGGGCTAGACAGTACTTGGGGCAACAATTTTATCTTAGGGTTTACACCACGTCAACTTCGTTGAGAGACGAGTATCCGATTCCGAAGAACGCTCTTCTTTGTGGTAGGGCAAAAGGGAGACACACGAGGCCATTTTGAGCTATAATTATAGCCTAATTAACGAGGCTTATTACGCAATTACACGGCTGAGCCAACAAGGAAAACTTTCGGCTTTTCGATCAAAGTGGAGATTAGAGTTTCTTGGCTTAGAAGTTTGTTTTTCGATTGTCGTGGACGGTGGTGCTAAATCGGCACCTATGCAAATTTAGGAACATGTAATTCTAGTACTTTTCAATTTTTATTTATTTTTGGTTAATTAAGTTAATGAGTATGACCTTAGCTCAAGGTCTCACATTCTTTAGGTTTGAACTTGATGTTGTATCTTGTTTGATATTTATCGATTAAATTTTAAAGAATTATTATAGTATAATAATAAATGAGATGTTTTTATTTAATTTTTGGGTTCTAATGCTTAAGGGAATTTGATTTTGTAATTTGTTCGTTGTATTGTGTAATAGTTGGTTTCCACGGTCTTATATATACAACTAGGGGTGGAAATCGGACGGAACATATCGCAAGTGACTTTTTTCAGAAAATTTTCAATTTTTTTTTTAAAATAAAAAATGGGATCCAATTTCCATTCCAAAAAAATCGGAATCCAATAATCCATTCCGATTTCGAAAATTTAAGAAATTGCATTCGGAAAGTGCTGGTAATTTTAAACTTGGGGACTGATTTCAATCATTTTGGAAGGTAATCAAGGATAATTACCACAATTAACTTTATTATAAGAATATTCAAATGTAAATGAAAAAAATCCCCCTTGAGATATGACTTAATTATAAGAATATTTTTAAATCAAGATATGCAGCTGTTACAACGTGATTATTGTTTTCTTAAACAAAAAAGGAGATTCCATTAATTATAATAATTAATAAGATTAATGTGGTATCTCATTTCAAATACCAATTAAAAGAATATTCTTTAATTCTAGGCCTATAAATTGTAGAGCATATTGTTCTTGAAAAGTATCACTCTCCACTATTTCGATATAGAACAAACACTTTTGAATATTTTCATCTATTAGCCCAAAAAAAGTAATATCAAGAATATGGCAATGATGAAAATGTCATTTGTGGTTGGTTTGGTTCTATTATCTTTCGTCGCGGTCGGAAATTGCGACGAAGTTGATTGCGCAAAAGTTCCAATCGAGAATTTAGAACCGTGCAAGGCGTTTGTGTTGGGCCAATCGGACAAACCTAGCGGTGAATGCTGCAAAGGCGTGAAATCTTGGACAACTGTTTCTGAAGAGATTGTGTGCGAATGCTACAGAAAGGCACCGCAAAGATTGTCTTACAAACCCGATCAAATAAGAGCAACGCAACTTCCTTTCGTTTGTAAAGTCCCCGAGTTTTACAACTACATCGCTTGTCTCGTGTAAGTTATTTTCGTCTACATTTTCTCTTTTTTCTATTGTTAGGATTTTTTTTAATATATATATATATATATTTGGGTCACTATTTACCGTACGATATGGCATCTAATTGTTTTTTTTTTTTTCTTTTTGTTTTGTTTAATGCAGTGCTAATTAGATCGATTTGATTGCTGGAGGGTGATCAAGGATCGATAAATGGACAAATAAAGATGCAAATCGACGGCTCAGATTCAACAATAATGTTTTATTATTTTATCTCCCTAAATAAACATGTAGTTTGAATCTTTAATCGAAGAGCGAAAATATTACACTACATTATTCGTGTTATTTTCTTATCAAACAAAAAATAAAAATATTCGTGTTATTCAATTTCTAGTTTTGCATTCCTTTCATAATACACTCACAAAGATAGTCAATTTTTAGCATAATAACTAGGTCAAATTACAGTCACCCCTGAGTTATGGTCAAATTACAAAGTTTCCCTTCATATTTCAGTAATTATAGCCACCCTCAACTATGTATTATTTTACGAAAAAACTCTTTCAAAGGTAAATTTAGAGATTTAAAATCGGTAAAGTTGAACCGAAATTTCGGTACGCAAACATTTCATACCAGTAAATGGCGAGCTGACCTTAAGACCGTCGGAAGGCTAGAATTAAGGATCTTCTTCACAAATAGTTATAAGAAATTTGATATTCCACACGGCAATCATGTGACCTGCTTCCTTAGAAATTTTCTATATAAACAAATGTAAAAAACTCTGTTAGGTTCACGATTTTCAGAATCAATGATATATTTTTATACTATCTTTTCAAACTTATTATTATTATTATTATTATTATTATTATTATTATTATTTCATCGGGGGACTTGGTTTGATTTTCAGCCCTAATATCGAACATATATGGGACAAAATTTACCTGACAATGATTTATTTTGGAGGATAAACTGAAACAAATTATTAAATTGAAATGTTAAATATCGTCACAAATTTATTAATATTGTATTGACAGAAAGTAAGGGTAATCTCGGGTTTAAGCTCACAGTTTAGCATCATTACAACAATTGACCTAATTCTGTCATTGTAAATTTTAAAATTGGGGTAATGACAAATAGACCCGTGACAAAGGCACTTAATTAAAAGAGGGACATCCAACTTTTTTGTCTTTCAAATAAATCCACCCCATTCAAATTTATTTGCAAATAAGGAAAATCCTTTTATATATACCAAAATTACCCATAATTCATTGAAACTCAATTCAACTCCAATTTCATGATTTACACCCCAATTTAGCCCAATTTCATCAATTAACCAATTTTAACCCTAATTTCAATTTTGACTCCAATTTTAACCCTAATTCTTATCAATTCCACCAATTGTGCTCTAACTTCTTTAATATTACACATTGACCCCGGATTTAAACAAATATATCACATTAACCCCCCAATTTTTTTTTTCAGAAAATATTTTTTTTTTCTGAAATGTTTTTTTTTTCGGCCAGATTCCGGCGTTGACCGCCGGTCTCCGGCGTTGACTTTTTTTTTTTTTTATAATTTTGTTTTTTCTTAAGTTTTTTTTAAATTAATATTACTGTCTTGGCTGCTAAATTACTCGCTCCGACAATTATTTAACTGCCGGAGACAGTATTTAGCTGTTAATTGATTTTTTTTTCTTCAAAAATATTTTATTTAATATTACTGTATTCGTTGCTAAATTACTGTCTCCAGCAGTTATTTAACTGTTGGAGACAGTGATTTAACTGTTAATTGATTTTTTTATTCTTAAAAAAAAATTTAATTAATATTACTGTATTCGTTTGCTAAATTACTGTCTCCAGCAGTTATTTAACTGTCGGAGACAGTAATTTAACTGTTAATTGGCTTTTTTCATTTTTTTTCTTAATTTTTTTTAATTAATAGTACTGCCTTAGATGCTAAATTACTGTCTTCAACAGTAATTTAACTGTCTTAGACAATAATATTAATAATATTACTGTTCGGAAAAATAATATTCATAATATTACTGTTCGGAAAAAATAATATTCATAATATTACTGTCCCAAACAGTAATATTACTGTCTGAGACAGTAATTTAGTAGCTAAACCAGTAATATTAATTAAAATATTTTTTTCTTCTAAGAAAAAAAAAATCAAAAAAAGAAAAAAAAAAAGTCAACGCCGGAGACCGGCGGTCAACGGTAGTTGACCGACCGGAAAAAATTTCAGGAAAAAAAAAAGTTTTCAAAAAAAAAAAAAAGTCAACGCCGGAGCCAGGCGGTCTCCGGCGGTCAACACCGGAATCTGGACATTTCAGAAAAAAAAAAAAAATTATTTTCTGAAAAAAAAAAATTTTGGGGGTTAATGTGATATATTTGTTTAAATCCGGGATCAATGTGTAATATTAAGGAAGTTAGACCATAATGGGTGTAATTGATAAGAGTTATATTATTAAGGGTATTTTAGACTAAAGACATGGGGATGGGCTTAATTGAGAGACTGTTTTTTTTGTGGACCAAAATGCATTTAAGTCTCATGTGATGAGCCTTTTTGCCATTTTCCCTTTAAAATTAGCAGTTGATATTTGACTTAATTATAAGAATATTTGAATGTAAACGAAACTCTAACGTGATTATTTTGTTATTAAAGTGACAATCCAAATTAACAGAAAAGGGAGATTCCCACTAATACTTTTACCACAAATTCGTCTAATAAAATTAATGTCATATCTCATTAAAAAAAAACCGAATTGAAAAAAACTTATTTGTATGCCTATAAATAGTAGAATATATTGTTCTTGAAAATTATCACTATTCACTTAAATACATCATCTATTATTATTATTAGCACCAAAAATATAAGAATATGGCAATGATGAAAGTTTCATTTGTGCTTAGTTTGATTTTATTATCTTTCGTCACCGGTGGAAAGTGTAGTGAAGTTGATTGTGCGAAAGTTCCAATCGAGAATTTAGAACCGTGCAAGGCGTTTGTGTTGGGCGAATCGAACGGACCAAGCGTTGAATGCTGCAAAGGCGTGAAATCTTGGACAACTGTTTCTGAAGAGATTGTGTGCGAATGCTACAGAAAGGCACCACAAAGATTATCTTACAAACCCGATCAAATAAGAGCAACGACCCTTCCTTTTGTATGCCGAGTCCCCGAGTTTTACAACTACATAGCTTGTCTTGTGTAAGTTATTTTTGTCTACATTTTTTTTTCTGTTGTAAAGAAATTAATCTTTTTTATATTTGGATATATAACTTTGTAAAAGACATCTAATTGGGTTTTTTTTTTCTTTTTTTTTTTTTTAATGCAGTGCTAATTAGATCAATATGATTGGTGGAGGATGATCAAGGATAGACAAACAAGATGCAAGTCGACGGCTAAGAAAATTCAACTATTATGTTTTATTAATTTTTTTTTTTTTCTTTTAGCTAAATGACCATGTTTTATTTTTATTTTCTTTAATGGAAGAGCGAAAATATTACGTTTCATTATTCGTGTTATTCGATTTTTAAAATTGCACTTCTTTGATGAAACAACTAGATGTCACAAAATCGCAAAATTTCATAAATCGGAAATAAAGAACTTGTTCCGAAATTTCAAAGTCAAATTCGAAATATCCAGTCACTTCAAATATGAAATATATAATAACTGATATTATATGTGTCACTTTCAAAGAAAAAGTTGGAACTCTTGGAAATTAGAAATGGATTGGAAATTGCAATCTCATATATATTCCAATCTCCAATCCACATAATTTTGGAAAAAAAATGGAAATCGAAATTCTGAAATTGCAATGAGAATGTTGTTCTAAAATTGAAAAAAAAAAATCGAATCGGAAATCAGCATAAGTCAAAAATTTCGTTCCAATTTTTACTCGTAGTCAAATTTGTGTTGGAATCTGATTGATAAGCAATTGAGTCGAACTCGCACAGAGTATTAATCAAAATCGAGCTCGAGTAGCTTGATATTTCATTATTTGTCTGTAATCAAGCTCACGCGGATCAACACTACATTGTTTTTTCGATACTAGACTGTCAACATCATCGGCACACATCGATAATTGTACCTGCCCATAACTGCCTTCATCGATTAGCCTATCCCCAATTTCATTTTTCCCTAATTTCATTCCGCAGTTTCGAATTTTCCTGCATACTCTACCTCTGGATAATCCATCCATGGCTGGAAAATCGGATTTAGATCCTCAACTCATCATTTCTCACGAGTTCCCCGAGGTTCTCTCTCTCTCTCTCTCTCTCTCTCTCTCTCTCTCTCTCTCTCTCTCTCTCTCTCTCTCTCTCTCTCTCTCTCTCTCTCTCTCTCTCTCTCTCTCTCTCTCTCTCTCTCTCTCTCTCTCTCTCTCTTAATTTACCTTCTTTTGTTCGTGATTTTGACTTTTTACTGTTTCTTCCTTCTCTTCGTTGATGATGAATCACGCGTAATCAGTCGGCGTTTACTTATACTGAAAGGTTTAGTGAACTTCAATTTTATTTTTCTCTTTCCTTTTGCTCTACAGAATGCTATCTTATGATTTCATTAATTTATTTGTATAATTCAAAAGCATGAACAAAGTGTATTTGTTTGATGAACAGAGATGCTGCGCTATACGCCCTTGGTATCGGAGCTTGTTCGACAGACGCCGTTGATAGTAAGGATCTGAAATATGTATACCATCAAGACGGACAGCAATCTATTGAGGTATTCGAAACGAAATGTTTGATTACTAATAAGATGTGTAGTCGTTGAATTTCTAAACTTTTTCGATTGCCTAATTTAGCCGTTTTGACGATGAATTTGCAACGTTTGGGAGACGGAATGTCTAGAAATTGAACTTGTACTCGACGTTGAATTTGAGCATTTTTGTTAGTTGTTTGTTGTTAAATTTTGGGGAAAAAGTTTTACTTGTACGAATTATGAACTATGGGGAGAAATGTACGAGTTGAGTTAACTAGGTTTCGATGCTTTTCTGCAGGTCTTGCCCACATTCGCTGCTTTATTTCCCGTGGGAATTCAGTCGCGGATTGCACAGTTACCCGGATTGAAGTAAGTACAACTGGTGGTTGTTTATCTTTTTCATGATTTGGTGTTTTGCATGTTAATATATACTATTCGACAATTTGATTTTGGTCGGAGAGTGTACCGGCTAACCGTTTTTTGACGTCGTTTGTCTCCAGATTTGATCAACGCCTTCTATTGCATGCACAACAATACATCGAGATCTACAAACCTCTTCCCTCTAGTGGCTCCGTAAGATTTTGATACATATAGTGTTAGATTGTTCTCCGTAAGTCCTTTTATTTATCCCTTTTTCGGAGTGATTGAGCTGATTAATTTTTGTGTCGACGCAGATAGTAAACAAGGCAACTGTTGCTGGGTTGCATGATAAAGGTTTGCTTCTAATATGACAAGGCAATTCTTTTTTATTTATCAGATACTGTTTATTGAATGTATCAGAGGCTGAAAACACTCGAAGAAATCATAACAAGAAGTGTACAAACTATTCATATTTAATGCACTTGTAATATGAAAACAAGATTTCCTTTTCAACTCCACTTTCCGGAAGCTACCCTCTCCGTTTATTTAGATAGTAAAAGTAGGGAAATTTTTGAATTTGGCCAAAATGTCTCTGTCTATTTAACCTTTTCTGGGATTAAAATGTCTATTTATAAAGCGATTTGGTGTTTCTTGAGATTCAAGTTTTGCATGGATGAACGTTTTCATCGATAAAAATGCTTATCTGGTTTTTCTTTCAGTTAAGGCAGCAGTTGTTGAGATTGAAGTTTTAAGTTATGAAAAAGAGTCTGGTGTATTGCTGTGCATGAACCGGTAAGATCACAGCAGTTCCCGTTTCTTAATACCTCCGTTTTATTTGTTCCTTAAGTTGACAAGTCTTTATATTGCTCAAAGGGTGTCTGTGTTTTTGAGGGGTGCTGGTGGTTTTTCGAAATCATCAGACCCTTACTCTTACACCAAGTATTCATCCAATCAGACATCGGCATTCAAGATTCCCAAAAGTCAACCATTTGCTGTATTTGAAGAATGCACTCAACCATCACAGGTATCCAAAAATTCTGATTTTGTGACATTAAAAACCGATTGTTAGAGCATATGAATTTATTATAATACTATGATGCAGGCGCTGCTTTACAGGCTCTCTGGTGATTACAACCCATTGCACTCAGATCCTATGGTTGCAGAAGTTGCTGGGTAAATTGTTCTTTTTAACTCATAAATATAGTAACTCTACCGACTATATATGTTTTTTCTGCGTTTTAGGATTAGATTCCGTATAACATATTCTGTATGTTTTTAGTTTAATTTCGATTTTTTTTCCCAATATTTTTGTGTAGATTTTCTCGGCCAATATTGCATGGACTTTGCACCCTTGGCTTTGCAGTTAGAGCCATCATCAAAACCATCTGTCGAGGAGAACAAAACATGATCAAGAACATATCTGGAAAATTTCTACTGCATGTCTATCCGGGCGAAACCATAATAACAGAAATGTGGCTCGATGGCTTGAAGTAAGTTTATTTAACTTTTGCTTTATTTAATTTAATGATTCCAAATTGTTTATTAAAATCAATGGAGCTTTACTAAGAGGGTGAAATGTACAGAGTCGTGTATCAGGCGAAGGTCAAAGAACGAAACAGGGCTGTGCTTTCCGGCATTGTAACTCTCAACCGCTTAAGCTCGTCTCTATAATGTCAAAATAGCCTTATCTCATGTATTCCGAGAGAAAATTAATAAAGTTGCATCTTTCTTTTCTTTGAATACAAGTACAACTGAATTATTGTAAAATTATCCGACAGTTAGTATTATTTTCAAGTTCGTTGTATCAATAATATATCCCTTCGATAACATATTATACATTTGAATTGGCATCGAAAGCATACAAAATTATTATTGCCTGTAAATACGAAAAACGAATCGTGCTACAATAGACTAATTTCTAAGTTTATTAGAAGTAATCATCCTAACTCAATTCTACTGCTTCCAGCTTCCTTCTTAGGAGCAGATTTTTCAAAATCCATTTCTTTTACCAAGTGGCTCTCCCTCTCCAGTGAACAACCGCCACGTGGCAGCGCCCCAGCCACAGCATAAGTACTCGTAAGAGCGAGCAAATCGGCCGGATGTTCTTCATCAATCTCCTCCAACTCCCGTTTCACACGCTCCGCCAAATCAACATTCCCATAAACCCTACACGCGCCGAGCAATGCACGCCAAGCAGTAGCATCCCTCTCGATGGGCAAACCCTCGATCACCCCATGGGCTTCCTCCAATAACCCGACTCGACCCAATAGATCGATCAAGCAACCATAATGTTCAATCTCGGGCTTCAGTTTATACACTCCCACCATTCTCTTGAAAGATCCAACCCCCTCATCCACCAAACCCCCGTGGCTACAAGAGTTGAGAACCGCCAAAAAGGTCACCTCGTTAGGCACAAAACCCTCGTCCTCCATTTTATCGAAAATCGAGATTGCACAATTTGCTTGCCCGTTTAGACCGTAACCCGAAATCATGGTTGTCCAAGTTGTCACGTCTTTGCACTTCATAGCGTTGAAAACTTCGACTGCTTTATCAAGAAACCCTTTTTTGGCGTACATATCTACTAATGCGGTTCCAAGAACTACATCAAATGGTAAACGGTGCTCGTTTATGTAATCGTGTACGTATTGGCTGATTGATAGAGCACCAGTGGCGGAGCAAGCAGAGAGCAAACCGGCCAATGTGGATGAATTAGGCTTTATGCTATGGTGCTTCATTGATGTTAGCAACTCCATTGCTTCTTCTAGAAGACCGGTTTTAGCGTATCCATCGATTAGACAGTTCCACAAGATGATGTCTTTTTTTACGGTAATTTCGTCGAAGATTTTACGAGCAGAATGAATGCGACCCTGTTTGCCGTACATGGAAACTAAAGCAGTGACTACGTTTAAATTCGAGAAAAATCCAATCTTGAAGGAAAAGACATGGAGACACTCTCCGAGTGAAGTGTTTCTTGTTTCTCCCAAAGCTGACAAAACATTGAGAATTGTCGTCACGCTGATAACAACGCCTTCTCTGTGCAATTTCTTGAACAATTCTACAACGAAATCGTATCGAGACACGAAAAGGTATCCCCCCATTAACGTGTTCCACGAGACCAAGTCCGTTCTCTCACCCAATTCATCGAACAGGTGGTGGGCATCTCGAATCCTGCCACAAATACAGTACAAATGCAAGAGTGCATTCTTGACATTCAGAAACAAATCAAACCCGGATTTGAGAACAATCGTATGAACCCCTAGCCCAGTCCAAACATCCAACAAACGAGAACATGATTTCAGAACCGAAATAAAAGTGAACCGATCGAGCGAGAAATCCTGTACGTGGTTTTGAGCCCTCATGCGATTGAATAAAACCAGACCCTTTTGCGGATCATCGGCGCCGGAGTAACCTCTGAGCATTGTATTGAACATGAAAAGATTTGGGGTTTTTATCTGTTTGAAAACGGAGGCTGCGTAGTGGATATCTTGCGTGCAGAGGTGTGCGAGGAGTTTGCTCAGTGGGAATGGAATGTGGTCGAGACCGGTTTTGACCATTAATCCATGAATCTGAATAGTTTGAGAGATTTGCTCGCATGATTGTAAGAGGTGAATTAGGGTTTCGTGTTGATGGTCTGAAGAAAGTATGGAGTAATTCCGGTGAGTGGTGGTCGGAATTCTGAATCGTCGACGAAGCTGCGACTTGATATTTGTTCTGAACATAAAAAATTTCAAGCACAAATCTTTTTATTATGGTTCTGCTAAAAATGGAACCAATCAAAGCTGAAATAACTTGTTTAAATCTTCGATAAAGATCAGCTTTCAATTATTTTACAGGCTTGGAATATCTCTCTTTCTCTCTCTCTCTCTCTCGTTCTTTTTTGGGAAAAATACAGTTTCGGCCGCTCAAGTTTGCATATACTTCATATTTGGTCCCCCATATTAAAAAAAACACATTTGGTCCCTCGTGTTTCAAAAATCCAACATTTTTAGTCATTTCTGCTAATTTTTCGTAAGTACTAACGGAATCAAGCGTGTGTCCATCATTATCTTAACTGACAGACTAACGGTAAATTGACGAAAATGAGTGAAAGTATTAAATTATTTAAACATGTGGGACCAAATATGAAATCAATAAAAACTTGAGGGGTGAAAATTATAATTTTCTCTTCTTTTGTTGAAAAAAAAAAGGAAAAATTGGCTCCTACATGCACCATCTGCTATATCCTCATTGATTGTCAGTTCAGTAGTGAATATTATTTGGACCACAACAACACTATTAAGACACGAGGGCCAAGGGTGAAAATCGATGTATCGTACTCGTGGAGACGTATTATTAGCTCTAAATTACGATTAAGAAAGTTCGGCAGTGTGTTAATTAACGTGTCAAAAATGAGTATGGTTCTCATTTTGAATACCTTCTTTTCCCTACAGATTCAGTATACTCTCTTGTTTTTTTTCTGATATAACTGTCTCGATCATATCCCGACTTTGATCGTAATTATAAAACTTGTATAACTGTTACAAATATTTCGTCTTACGAGAAAGCGGCATTATTCGAATCAACATCACAGTACATATGTCTGTTCCAATAGATGGGGTTTGTGTTGAAATTAATTTGCATAGTGTAGAGTTTTCAAATCAGCAATTATACTACCTCAACTCTATCGTGACGTATACGACATTACAAAAATGCCCGATTTTGATGTCGATTTTTTCGCCAAACTTCTCGGATTACTATAAATAATCCAACAAAATGGGACACTTTCACAAACAAAATCATCCTCAGAAATTTCATCAATGAAAAAAATGAGTAGTAGTACTCCCATTCTTTCGACATTTTTTGGTTTATCATTTCTCTTTTCAATATCATGCACTATTATGGCTCAAAACCATGACGAGTTTCTCGAATGTCTAAACTCTCGAAACTCGTATTCCATCTCGGAAATCACTTACTCCCCACAAAACTCTTCCTACACATCGACATTCCTCTTCTCGATCCAAAACATACGTTTCGTTTCTCCTTCCATGCCCAAACCCTCGTTTATCTTCACCCCTTCGTTCGAATCCCAAATCCAAGCAATCGTTTTATGCTCGAAGGACAACAACTTTGAAATTCGGATCCGAAGTGGGGGCCACGATTACGAGGGCCTTTCCTATTCTTCAAAACTCCCATTTGTTATAATCGATTTGAAGAACCTAAATTCGATCACAATCGATCCCGAAAATCGATTTGCATGGGTTGAAGGAGGTGTACTTTTAGGCGACCTTTTTTATCAGCTAGCAAAAAAGAGTCCGAATCTCGCCTTTCCAAGCGGACTTTGCCCTACTGTCGGAGCTGGAGGTCACTTTAGTGGTGGCGGATACGGCACTCTATTGAGAAAATATGGCATATCGGCTGATAATATACTTGATGCAAGAATTGTCAATGCAAATGGCGAAATTCTCGATCGGAAATCGATGGGGGAGGATCTTTTTTGGGCTATACGTGGTGGTGGTGCCGCCAGTTTCGGAGTTGTCACACGTTGGAAGATCGCTTTAGTTGAAGTCCCTGATATCGTCACAGTTTTCACCGTCAATAAAACATTGGACGAAAACGCCCACGCTCTCGTTCATCGTTGGCAGTTCGTCGCGGATAAATTCGACCGTGATTTATTTGTTCGAATCCTCATCACACAATCGAATTCTTCCAAGGGAAACAAAACGACCATCCAGGCTTCGTTTAACTCGATTTTTCTCGGAAAAATCGACCGGCTTATTCCGATAATGCAAGAAAGTTTCCCCGAGCTGGGATTGGTGGAGGAGGATTGCATGGAGAAGAAGTGGATTGAAGCGGTTCTATACTTCTCGGATCTCCCGTTTGGATCGGTTTTAGACGATCTAACGAAACGAAACCCTAATCCAAGGACTTACTACAAGGCGAAATCGGATTACGTGCGGGCCCCAATTTCGGAAAACGGGCTATTAGGGTTGTGGGAGTTTTTCAAAGAAGACGAGGCGAAAGATGCTCAGTTGATATTTGCACCATATGGTGGGAGAATGAGTGAGATTTCTGAGTACGAAATTCCATTTCCACATAGAAGTGGGAATATATATGAAATCCAGCATTTGGTTTATTGGGATGAAGAGGGTGATAAAGATGCTCAAAGGTATATAGATTGGATTAGAAGGGTATATGAGTACATTACTCCCTTTGTTTCCAAGAACCCTAGGGCTGCTTATTTGAACTATAGGGACTTGGATTTGGGGGTAAATAAAGAAGGTAATAATACTAGCTATGAAGAAGCAAGTGTTTGGGGAATTAAGTATTTTAAGGGCAACTTCAAAAGATTGGTTCGAGTGAAGAACAAGGTTGACCCGAGTAATTTCTTCAGGAATGAGCAGAGTATTCCCACCGTTTTGGCCTAGGCCAATTTTCGAAAATATGTAATAGATGAATAAATTAATCAATCAAGGGTACGAATGAAATAAAAGAAAGTTTGGACTTGTAACCGTTGAATCAAGCAAATAAATTCCAGAAATGGCGTAATTTTCGTAATATTCTCGTAAAATGGGATTGGTAGAATCTAGTCAGTCCACGTTGCATCTACCACCTTAGCCATGAATGCATATCTATCTGCAGCTTCGTCGATCTGGAATAAAGGTTACCGTTGAATTACTTGATATAAATAAATAAAAATGTGAATTATTGAATTTGTACTTACGATTTTCTGTGTTGGCATTCCAGCTCCATGTCCGGCCTTGTGTTCTATGCGCCCAATAATTGGGTTCGTTTGAGGACTCTTCTCCACACTTGTGCATAGGACATGTTGCAACGTCTATAAGCAACAAAACTAAAGTAAGCTAATATGCAGAGTCGATTTTTCGTACAAAATAATTTGCATTGGTTATTGATTGTTCCACAGAAGAAAGAATCATTGGTCCCATTGATCCCTAATACAGATAAGTACCAAAAACTACACATTCTTGTAAGCCTCAATGCCGTCAATCTTCACTTAACTTGCAGCATAATCTATAATGGAAATTTGAAAGTTGACTTTTCAGAGTAGCATGCCGTTTTTTTCTATTGAACTCATGCCAAATATCACAAGATAGATCGTATAACTCCCAGTTCTTGAAATTCCCTAAAATTCCTCACTATGCAAATTCCCCTCAAATAACAACGTTGATTAACTTATGATATCCGTGAACATAGAAACATAATCCCACATAATTACACTATTGGTCCTAGTGAATTCTGATCAACCCACATAAAAATAACGAAACAGTAAAAAATGAGAATGCTGAGTGTAAAATTAAAATTGGGAGAAAAAAAACCCACCGCCAATAATTTCAGGGAGTGCAGTGGGACAACGCGGTCATCATGGTCGGCAGTCAATAACATAGTGGATGGATATTGTGACCCTTCTTCTGAAGGTTTATCCCATGGTCTCCTAACATTATGCAGGGGAGAGTACCTAAGAAAAAGGAAAAAAGGGCAAAAAAGTGAAAGTTAGCAAATTGACGCAAACAGAAATTTATAAGACTCGTCTAATTTGAAAACCGTAATATGACGATTCGTTATTTCTGATGAAGGAAAAATAGCTCACTTGATTAACCAATGGAACTCTTCTTCCTTACTTGAGCATCCGTAGTCGGAAGTCCATGCGTGGCCTAATTTGTAGTAGAATTTGATAAACCGAAAATGTCAAAACGTATAAACAAACCTATTAGACTAAAGATCCATCCTTTAAAAAAAAATCCTCACCAATTGTGAACATATGAAACCTTAGCATGTCCATAACACCGACATGAGCAAGCGCACAGCCAAAAAGATCAGGTCTCTGCAATTACAAAATTACAAATCCTTTACTCGATTCAATTCAGATAGAAAATTTTGCAGAAAAAAATATGCATGAAAAATTAATCGTAAGTGCTACCTGGTTAATACAAGCACCAACAAGAAGGCCTCCATTGCTTCCACCTTCAATACAGAGCTTCTTAGGCTGCGTGTAACCAGCAGAGACGAGATACTCAGCAGCTGATATGAAGTCGTCAAATACATTCTGCTTATTTGCAAGTGAGCCAGCTTTATGCCATTCTTCTCCATATTCTCCTCCGCCACGTATGTTTGCAATGCAGAAGACAACATCTAAATGCTTTGCAATCAAAATACGAGCAGCGGTGAAATACGGCGTAATGCTGATGTTGAATCCACCATATCCATAGAGTAGACAGGGATGGGAGCCATCCAGGCTAAGACCCTTTCTCGCAACTATAAACGTTGGGATTTTTGTACCATCCTTACTGGTCACGAAAACCTGAAGAAGGGTAGTGGCCAAGGGTCAAAGAAAGAAAATAGAATTATACAGAAAAAAATATCGAAAATCGAGGTTCTTTCAGTTTAGTTACAGAAACAAAATATGGAAATCGTTTCTTTTTTCAATTAAATACCCTCCAAAGCCTACAACAGAGTTAGTTTTATTCATTGTTGATAAACAAAACCACCAAGTTTGATAGAAATCATTTGCCAACATAGTTTGTAAAATCTACTCATCCAAATACTAATTCAACTGCACTAATTAGACTTTCAAGTTTCCACAACAAGGTAGTAGATGTTGACTAAGAGGTATGCTCTGCATAATTTGATAAACATATTAATCTACATAAGAAATCAAGTAATTTTTTTTCCTTCCCCAAATTGATAACATAGACCCAAAAAATACCAGAGAGGAGTAGCTTCAACGGTATAATTGAACTCAAAATTTCCAAGAAACGATTATTTACCTGACTGGATTCAAATTCTGTCCTGTCAAAACCGGGAACAACTATTTCTCGAAAGATTTTCATGTCCGGGGCATCACCTTCTAAGTTGCACATATATATAATACCCGGGACAAGAAAGCTTGTAAATCCGACAAACATTATGCTGTCTTTACGTCGACAAGAAATCTCAGATACTGCTCCAATATCGAGTGGTAAGCGGTGCAAAAAGTCACCTGTTTTCAAGTCCCTTATTTGCAAAACATTTTTCACGTCACTCAAATAATTAACTACAAGTTGATTGTGATTCACAGCCGATGCAGATTCAAGCACATCCTTCTTATCTTCCTGAAGTACTTCAGTCCAAGAGCTGGGTTCTCTCAGATCAACTCGTACTAGTTTGTTTCTTGGAGCATCCTTATTAGTGAGGAAGGTGAAGATCGTGTCATCATTCGCAACATAGTGATAAGAAGCATCAAAGTTATCAACAAGCTTGACGAAAGGAAGCAATTCCTTTGACCCTTTATAACCTTCAAGTCCTTTGGGGAGCAATGATATGTCACAGTAATAAATCTTGTTCACGGGATCACAATTTTCTCCAATATACAGAAGAACATACTGCACGTTTCAACAGAAAAAGGGGGAGGGAGTACCAGTTAACTCAAAAGTAAACCAGATATTAGCAGTGCTAAAATGTAGGGAAACACACGTCAAATTATCAATCTTAAATTTGCCTCTGCACTGTAGCAGAATATTACACATGTCATATATGATACTTCAAGACATAACTTTGTCAGAAGCAAAAATCTCATTATATAATAACATTATTCAAAAGTTATTTCCTATTTTATTATCATATTCTTTTCTTGGAATGAGTTACTGTTCCATCGGCAATTTTAAAAAGACCATATTTTTGTGTCTAAATTTATCTCACCCCGGGATCAAACACACAATAACATTGCTGCAATAATTTGAATAACAAAGAGCAGTTATAACCAACTAACACAGTTTGTGACTCTGCTCTATGAAAATGTTAGTACCTTTCCATCATCAGTGACTGAAGCCGAACGTGTATGTTTCGGATTTTCTGGATCACTCCAACATAAGATATCTTCAGACTGATCGGTACCCAGAAAATGATAATATAATTCATGGTTCAGATTGGCATGGGTCTCTGTGCCAGCATCCAACTTCTCTCCATCCCTTCAAAAGAAGCCATCCAACAAGAATATAAATAACCTACTGCAGAAAAGATGCAACTAGAAATTCAGAGAAATCATACAAAACTTCAATATTAAATACCACTTACTCAGGAGCTGGATAGCGGCTATAGAAAAAACCCTTGCTATCATGCGTCCAACTTATACTCGAAAATTTAACCTGTAATTAGCAAGTATACATCAAGTTCCCTAAGAAATGGTACTGAAAGAATATAATCAAATATCACGATTATTCAAAAGTTATACCCATGAAATGGTGTCAGGCTCGATAATCTTATCATCAATCCGCATAACATTAATGGTAACCCAATCACTTCCGCTTGAACTAGTGCCGTAGGCCAAGTACTTTGCATCTTCACTAACTGCATATTCACTCAACGCCACAGTTCCATCAGTGCTTAACGTGTTTGGGTCAAGCAACACTTCAGGTTTCCCATCCAAACTATCCTGCAATACAGAAAAATCGCAAAATTTCAGAAATTGAACGACACACAGTAGTCAAGCTTCGAAAGTTTAAAGAAAGGTAAAATCTTGATAAACGACCTGAACGTATAGGACTGTTTGAGGTTGTAAACCGGTGTTGTGGAAGTAAAAGTACTTCCCACCTTCTCTAAATGGAGCATTGTACTTAGGAAAGTCGTAAAATTTCGTAAGCTTCTCACGAAGCTTATCCCTTGTTTCGCAGGTTTTAAGTACAGAATCCGTCAATTTCATCTGTTTCTCCACAAACTCCTTCGTCTCCGCCGAATCGGAATCCTCAAGCCTAACAACATTAATTCAAATCAATCACATAAATATTTGCTAAAACACGAGAAGCCCCAAAATCTGTGTTGAGAGGTTTAAACAACACGCGGATCGAAATAAAAATACACGAACTATCAAATAAAGCATCGATTGAAGCGGTTTTTTAATCATTTTTCTCAATTAGAATTCCAGGTTTCATATTCTTTACAGTGAGAAGTTTAAAAAAAAAAAACTAGTTTCGCCAAATTATTACCATCGATAAGGGTCGGGGACCACAACGCCGTGATAATTATCAACCACAGACTCGTCCCGGCGAGCGACGGGGTACTGCAGAAGCTCGTTAAACGCGGCGACCGATCCCATTCTTGGAGCTGTTGACGAAGAACGCGACTGGCAGTGAGGATTAAAGGACAGGTTATTTCGTGATGTCAAGTGTTTGCGGAAATGCCTCTGAGAAGAAGAAGAACAATGTAGAGTCCGATTGCGTACAAACTTTAGGCGGCGCGTGCTGACGAGAGAATAGTGTGCGCGTGGCGAGTGCACAACAACATGATTTTACAGATTTGGGTCGGGTAAATTAAAACCCGATTTGGGGGAAAAGGGATTTCTTCTCAGCTCTTTTTTCCGAAATAGTCCGATTTTATTCTTTTCTTTCTTTTCGGGATTCCTCGGAAATCAATTTTCGCTTTTTTTTAAAATTTGATTTGATTTTTGTTGTACTATCTTCAATCCTGAATTTTATTTTTTTTCATGTCATTTAGAATATTCCTTCTTATGGAAACAATTACGAATACAAATAAACAAAGTGATATGTCTATTGGGCCAACTCAATGGGCCTACAATTTATTTACTTACTGGGCCACGAGCCCAATATTGAAGACCACTACCACCGAGACCCAATCACCTTCAAATAAGGTTTGAGCCGAACAATCTCAACTAAGGTATAAATAACGATTTAATTCATTTATTTAAGGTATGCCCTATTATCCGAATAATACTACGAGTCATATTCTCTCAACTATTTTTACAATCCGCACGTCTGACTTGAGCGTCGAGGGGTTTCCGCCGGATCAACCCCCGGCCTAGTTCATGTGTTATGTGTTCGCATGTATCTGAGGGCCATCTAGCACGTGAGCAGTGATCCACTTTGTTCTCCCACCTCCCTCTATCTCAACTACTTAAGGTGATATATTTCTAGCATCATAAAAAAATATTCGTTATAAATTAATATTTTAAAAAAATAAGGAAGTTGTTGCACTGTGATTTCCATTTCCGTTGTACATTAAAAGTTGTGGTCCGTGGGCCTTTCGGTCTTTCTACAAAATCAGTTTCAGAATATATTTGGGCTTTGATTAAATATAATAGCAACTTTAAGCACGTATACATGACAAAGCCCATAAAGTTAAATGCTTCATTTGGCCCAATATATCTGTTTTGCTCGTGAAAAATAAATTCTTTTGAAAAATAAAGGAATTTAAAAACATAAGAACCACAGCCGCTTCAAACTGTGTAGCACAAAAACTTCAACTTCTGAATGTTTCCGTATTTCAGACTAATTTCATGTCCCGACACTTGAGAACATCTACCGGATATCTTATGGGTTATTTTGCAATTTCAAAAAAGTTCAAAAAATGTTTGAGTAGCAAAATTTTCAAATATTTTTGTTGTTTCCCTAATTACTCATATGATTTAATGATCAATTACAAATTAGTAATTGATAATAATATTTATTTTGAATATATTTGCATGGAAACAAATAAAAAGAAATTATATATAAACAAAAACATATATATATTTATATAGCATATTCTTTTCTGTTTTTTTTTTACTTATTGCTCATGTTAATATTTACACGTTTTTCCCCAATTTTTCGTATCCCAATTATTGGGACATACAGTTTCCCCGTGTCCGTTTCACTATTTATCGGTGTCGGTGTTTCCACAATCGTGCTACATAGCCTTCAAAAGAAAACAAGAGTAAAGAAACACATAATATTCCCCACCCTACATATTCTCTCTATTTCAAAATTTTAAAGTGATAATATTATCACCACACAATACTAGATTTTTCTATTGTGAGAATTGGAATGGAATTATTAAATTTTGAAAAGCGTGGTTAATCATAATTAATGTCAAACTTTTCTTGTGTTTCTGTGTAGACAAAAAAAAAATAATAAAGCACGTTTCATGATTTGACTCGCTGGCTTCTTACATATATAACTTCAAGGATGTAATGATTCAGATATTGAATCTGCCCAATAAAAGGTTCTTTAATTTCTTCATGCAATAACTCATGTATTCCACTTCTTCTATGTAAATCTACCTTTTTACATGCATTTTGACAACAAATCCAAATTTCACAATATAAAAATATAGCTGATTTATATTACCCCAATCATTCCACATTTTCAAAATAATACATAAGATTTTAGTTTGCTACTAATTAATGAGTTATTGAAGTTCATGAAATTAGGGTT